GCACTATGCACAGTGCAGGTAGAGCACGACTTTCCCCTCCTGAGTTGCCTGATGATTTGCCAGAATCTCTTCCGAGGCATGAATGTGCTATGTTAAATATCAGAGCCTGTATACTGGTTACTTTCTTTGTTTTCTATCTTCTCTTCATTCATTTCTCTTTGTTTTTGTCATTCAGGTCTGTGGCTGCATGTGAGGATACTGTCAAGAAACTTTACTCATTGTTGGAATGGGAGTACAGTGACACAGATTTGGACGATGACAATGACCAAACAAGCTGTGGTAAAGCAAAATTTAATTAAAAAATGTACACTTGCTAGGTTTGTTTTTGAAGCTACAATTTAACCTGTGATTATTACTGGTTTTAGGACAAGCATCACCACTGTCATGCGAGTCTGTTCCCTCAGAAACTCAAGTCCACAGACCTCTGGCTTCTGATGGCTCGGCTTCTTTTTCATCTAAGCCAAATGACAGCGAAAAACAAGAAAAAGTTCTGAGAAAAAAACACCCTCTCGCTTTGAAGAGCCCAGTAGTGGTCCTGACCAGAATGACTGGATCTCAAATGACCAGCTCTCCATCTCCTCCATTGCCTCAGAATCACTGGAGTGAAAATGAGTCTTTAGGCACTGATGGGTCTGACATGCAGTGGGAACCCAGCGGAGACTCGAGTGATACCGACTTTTCTATTTCAAGTACACGTTCAAACAAGAAGAAAAAAATGACCAAAAAGAATGGAAAACACACTAAGAATGACACAACACATCAGGAGAGAAGAAACTCCATCAGAAGCGGAGCAAAGACATCGACTCTGACAACAAACGCAGAAAGCAGCGCCAAAAGCAGCCCAGTGAAAACACTGACGCAGCAAGCGGGTACAGTTCCTGATGCAAAAGGCAAAACGGCAAAGTCACCACAAGCCGACACAAACACAAGTGCTGAGAGCAAGGCAACGAAAACATCGACAAAACCAGCAAGCGCTTCAGGTAATGACCACAAAATATACATTATGCAAAAACATAAAAAACTCCATGTAAGACCTTTTTTTTGCCCAGATCTTAGGTTTATGTGGGGATTTATGTGTTTTTAAGCTGATTTAAAGCTGTATTATATTGTTGAAGAGTAGAAAATATTGGCAAATTTAAAGATCTTGCTTTGTACACTGAGGAACAGATCACTACCAGATTTCCAAACACAGAAATCACAAGATCTATCCAATCGTCAGTGTTCAAATGACATTTTGCTCCTTTTACGCCGACAGGAGTAACTCCTGTAACCACTGTATCAGCTGCTTCCCAGTCCTCAGCCACAAAGACCCCTGCTGCGGTGCCACAAAGAGAGATCAGTGTGAACATGAAGGTCCTGGCCAGAAAGAGGCCTTTGAGCTGGCATCCAGGGACAATTGTTGAAATAATAACAAAGGGTAAGAATAATAAAGAAAAGACTCTATTGGTAAGCACAAAGCAAATTGTAAAGTTTCACATTTGTCTTTAGCTTGACAGCTACTCGTCGATTAAAAAGGTCTTGTTTTGTGTAGTTGGGAATGTTGGGTGACATTTAATCAGTTTAATCTGTGAAATGGCTTTGAGGTAGTTAGTACGTTAAGCAATGAATTGCATTTATTTGGAGACGTTCTGTAGCTCTGTTGACACTGATTGTCATCAGGACATCACGGCAAGCAGAGCTCGACACACTGTTGCTCTGTTAGCTAAGATAACAAATATTTTAAACTTCAAAGTAAACAAAAGAAATTATGTGATGCTAAAGGAAGGTATGTTTCTTACATATCCGTGTCCCATAGTTGAGGCTAGACTAGCAACGTTTAGATTTTTTTTCTACTCTTTTTTTCTTCTTTATTTTGTTGAGTGGTTGTGGTTGTGCTTGTTGTTATTACACACACCATGCATGCGATATGACATATGAGTGACATTACCACAGTTTAAAGTTTGTTGGTGTTTGGGCCTCACCAACTGAATTCCTCTGACAGCACATTTTGACACAGATTGTGATGCTGTAACTTAACGGCTGGCGCTTAAGCGCTTTTGATTACGCTCTCAAAGAAAATAGATACATTTGATATGAGAAAAAAACCCATTTAATTTAACAAATGCACCTGTATTTGACATTTCTTCTTTCAAGAAAACGCAGTATGTAGAAGCAAACGTGGTATAATCTGAAGTGTTTCCAATGTTTCTTTAATCATTTCAGAAGATGGCAGGGTGAAATACAAGGTCAACTTTAAGGAGAAGGGGAGGAGCCTAGTGTCTGGTCACCACATTGCCTTTGAACACATGCCAAAGGTGAATGAGTTGCTTGTCGGTGCGCGTGTGGTGGTCCGGAGCAAAGACGACCAGTTTGTGCCTGGTTTCATGGCAGAGGTCCCCTCCAGAAAAAACCGCATGAGGTTAGTGTGTTTTACTCTGGTGATAAATTCAGATTGTGAAGGTGGGAAAAAAATGTAAAATTTTTTAATTTTTATATTCCAGGTTCCTGATTTTTACTGATGATCACACTCCAGTGTATGCTAGCTTACGTGCAATGCACATGGTTTGCAAACCACGTAAGTTCAGGTTATTTATGGTTGTCTGTCTCTGTGTTAGTCCTGTGACAGACTAGCGATCTGTCCAGGTGTACCCCGCCTGTCGTCTTATGACAGCTGGGACACCAGCTGTCGTCAAGTCCATAATATCTAATTTTATAAAATCCAGAATCCCAATTCTTCTATACTCGCTGTCCACAGCAGCTGCTATTATAATACTGCTACTAAGAAGATTTTCCATTTTCTATGACAGTGGAGAACCCTTTGGATGATATCCTAGATGAAAAGCACAAGCTTTTCATGCAGAATTATATAAAGAAGTGGCCTTATCCACCCATGACGCAGTACCATGTCGGACAGACTGTAAACGTGGAACGTAACGGATTCCTGCAGAGGAGTAAAGTACTGGATATCGACTGCAGTTTGATGGAAGTTGTTTTTCTGGTCTGTTCCATCTTAAGTTGTTCCTGTTTTGTTTTTGTTTTTTAAATCCTGTTACATTTATTTCAATTTTGTGACTTACTGTAGTGTGTTGATTTCATGTTTAGGATGATGATCATAAGGAGTGGATCCACCGAGGCTCCAGTTGCTTGGAACAAATGATTAATGTGAATGAGAATTTAAATAAGACTTAAAAGGAGGACGGGCGGAAGAGTAACACTACCTCAATCAATGGTAAACTACTTTTGTATGTGGAGAAAAATTATGTTATCCTGGTTATCACTACTGGCTTACTAGTCTCTCTGTTTCCCTGTTTTGTGTGCTTTAGAGTCATCACCATCATCAAACTGATGGACTATGAGGATGCTTTAAGTTTGTCCAGCTGAGCCTTTCTCTTACTCCTGGGGATAATGCCTTCAGACCATGCAGATACTACAAATGTATTCATTTTATAACAGATTTTGTACAGCTGAACGAAAATAAAATTTTCTTAGTAGGTTCAAACTTATTATGTGTTAATCTGAAAAAGTGGGCATCTCTTATATGTGTGTGGCTGCAAAGTCTGCAGCTCATTTTCAAGTTGTTTTACCAAAAAAATGTTTGTAATAAAACTACAAGGAATTAAAATCAAAATGTGTGACTTAACATGTAAAAGCTTATAAAAGCAAGAATACCGCCATCTGCCTCCATTATATCCACTATCCTTCATCTACACGTCTAAACCATCTCAGCCTTTCCTCCTAAATCTGTTCACTGCCCTTTCTCCATAGTAATTTGTATACCACCACAGGTATGTCATTTTAAAAGGTTTAAAACAGCAAGTCAAATATTTGGACATGGAGAAAACAAAAGTTAAAAGGTAGCTGATAAAAATCAGCTGTCCATAATTTAATAAGGACTTGTAACGGTTGTAGGTTGGGGTGGTAATTCCTCACTAGTTCCTTGTGGATGTCTACCTTCGAACAGGAGTAGCCACATTTGAGCACAGGAGGGCGGTACGAGCGCCGAATTGAACCAGAACTAGCTGTACTAAGCAGACAGAAAAAAAACTGGCTAGGTGATAGCAAAAGAGCTTTGAACATCGAGCTGGCGAGAAGGTAGAGGAGAAAAGTGGAACGCCACCACGGATTTTTTGTGGGATAAACGTACAGGGCTCGCTGCTAAAACGGTAAACACCGTGTATATTTAAATAAGCTACATAGCGATTCTGCAGTTAGCGCAGCTGCTAGCGTAAGTAGCAAGTTAGCTTGACGAACGTAGCTAAGTTAAGATGGCGGTCAAATTATTTACATTAGCTAGTTGCTAGCAATGCATGCTAATAGATACTACGTCGCTTGTTGATTAGTTACTTCTCTCCAGACTTTGAAATATTGGTGCTGTTAGTAAATGTGCTGGAGTGTTAAAGATGCTTAATTTTACTAATCCATGCAGAGATTAACGACCTTAACGGTAATTTAGCCTTACGTTTAACGAGTGTTGCATCGTCTTGGAATGTGTGTAAACAGCATAGGCAACGCTTAATGAGTAGCCACGATCAATTTATTAACTTGGCATTTACTTGTGCTTTCACTCTGCGTTGGATAAGGCTTAACTGAACTCATTTGCTCTAATAATTACTTCTGACTACAGTGCTAATGGCTTTGCAATGGTTTGATGCACCGCTGTGTGTTTTGGGGGTTGTCAAGTTTATTATGGTCATGCAACAGGGATTATTATAGCTATATCATCTCATTTGAACGCTGTTCTTCTTATTTTCAGTATTTTCAGACCCGTTGCAATAGTTTTGCACATAGCTTTAGGTCCTTTTGTTGAGAATTTTGTTGAAAATTTTGTTGCCTTTTTAGGCATGAAGGAAAGTTGAACTGTTGTTCTGATGGTGGCCTCCTATATAACCACGTTTACAAAAATGTCTACTTCTAGGTTAAGGGTAGTTTAATTAAACAGTAAAAATAATATTTACACTTGTCATGCAGTTGAACGTATGATGCTAAAAGTGCCTGTTTCCAAGTTGACAAAGTTTGTTATGAAATTGTCTTTTTACTTTCAATTTAAATTCTTAAAACATAACGACAGTTAAATCAGGGAACTTGCAGACTCGCGAGACTTCTGGGTTGTGCAGAGTTCAAATTACTTAAGGTTGAATACGTTTTTATTGGCGAAAAGTCAAAAAATAAAAAGGAAAGGGAGTATTGTTCAGTAAGGTAACACAGATTTTTGCTTTGTGAACCCATATGTGGAAAAGCTGTGCTGATGTACACAGTCCCGATTTGAGCCTTTGGGGAATAACTCTGAACTTTACAGTATTGTTGGGGGGTCTGTAACTACACACGAGAAACGTGCAGGTATTTAGTCCCTCAAATCCCATGAGTTTGGCAGTGATCAGCTGCTCCAATAATTTGAATGTAAGGAGTGACTTTCCTTAAACATATTTTGGTACTCTGTGCTAATTTGTTTCCTTTTTACACCAGATGCCTCACACAAGACGATACTCGTCCTCGGAAAGAGACAGTCGAGCCAGCTACCAGGATCGTTACAGAGACCGAGACAGAGGGCGAAGACATCGACACAGAAGAACGCCGACTTACTCCTCCAGCAGTGACAGAGAAAGAGACCGAGACAGGAGGGGACGTGGACACAGACAGGAAGGAAGCTATGTACGGTCACGGAGGTGCGTTATGGTCAAATTAGCTTGGGCTTTTACTCTTTCATGTTATATTTAACGCTCTTTCACTTTATTATTGGTTGCCAGTCTTAAGGTTTCGGGATATTTCTCTGCTCTCTTATTCAGTCGCAGCTATGACAATCGGTCAGTGGAACAACGACCGTTTGACAGAAGATACTGCGAGGGATACAGACGGTTTGATCAGAGCAGAGAACGCGACAGAGACAGGGAGCCACACGGAGCAGCCGAAAGTTACTATCCACGTGACTTCTCGCCGAACATGTACGACTACAGACGCGGCCGTGAGAGGGAGCGTGAACGAGAAGAGTCGTACCGGAGGAAAGGCAGCAGGCGTAAGCACAAACGAAGGCGGCGTAGAACCAGGTCCTATAGCGCATCCTCCTCGGTGAGTACAGCCAGACCTGAGTTTGTGCTTTAAGTCCTCATCCTCTACCTCCAACTCCTGTTTCTTTCGCTCAGCTCTCTCTGCCTCTGTCCTGTCCTAACCTTTTCTTTACAGCCCCTAGATTTGGTAAGTAGTAAAACCTTTATGATTTATTTTTGTTCTGTCACAGGGGTTTTTATTATATTTGTGAATAGGTGGGTTTGGCTCTAATTGGCTCTTTTTTTTCAAAAATCCTTTCTCCTTTTTATGGTAGAGCATTTTCATTTTTATACAGACACTTTTTAGTACTTCAGCCGCTATTTTGTCACCAATAATTGTTACTGTAATTTATTTATTTTACTTTATTTTTTTTTTTATTTCTAAGAGGGCAGAAAGCCTTTTTGTTTTGGCTCTTGCAATTATTATTCTTATTTTTTTTTTAATGATGAAAAAAGTGAAAATGTTCTGCCAACCATGGTGCATTAGATTTTTATTAAAATTTATTGCCATTTAAAATGAGTTGGCTCTAATTATTTCTTTTTGTGTGGGGTGTGGTTAATCACACCTGTTAAGTATTATTATGAACGTAAATGAGGAAAAGGTTTGAATTTGATGTAGTATAACTGCTGGGATTATCTTTAAAGAAGTCCTGCTTGAATGTTTATGGCGTTGTTATTTTATCTTTCATCTTGTTGCAAAGTTTTGAAGTAGTTATGTATATTATTGTTTTAATTGGTTGTTGCGTTGATGAATGGATGTGCCAGTTGCTTCCTTGTTTGTAAGCAGCTGTGGTTTAAAGGTAGGGGGGCGGGAGAGGAGCAGAGGACAACATGTGATCTTTGACTTGTTCCCTTGCACTATATCCCTATCGTTATATATTTCCTTCACGTGGTGTCATGCGTGAATCGCCCAATGACCATGAAACCCACCTACAACCACAACTACATCAACTACCACCCTCCTCCTCCCTCCTCATCCACCTGTGCCACCTGACGCCGTGGCTGCGGCTGCCCCTGAAATCCCCCCTGTCCCCTTCGGTCGTGTTGTGACCTGCTGATGGCCGTTTGGGTGTGAATACAGCGGAGCAACAGCCGGACGCGTGCACTGAGTGTGAGGGACGACGAGGAAGGGCACCTGATCTGTCGGAGTGGGGACGTCCTGCAAGAGAGATGTACTCACTGCCACTACTCTATCGTAACCCTTCTCCATATGAGTATTAAAGCATAGAGCATTTACATGACATGGGGAGTGCCTGATGATCATGATGATGATGAGGCCTTGCTAGAATGCTCTTCGCTCTAGCTGAAATAGCAGGGTGGATTGCAAGAATGTTGAAGATTTTAGGAGGGACTTTAGATACAATCTGCTTTTTTTTTTTTTTCTTTTTTTTTTCTTTTTTTTCTAGGATTTTTAAGCTGTGGAGCATTTCCTTTATGTTTCACAGGTTATTTGACTTTCCTAAACTTAGAAATCCAATTTGCAGCTGTTTGTTTATGTTGCGCTTTAGCTTACAACTCAGTTACAGTTTTAAATCTGTAACTTAAGCTAGATGTTTTTCACTCGGATGGTTTCAGGGTCACATCACTTATTCATCACAAATTTCACTAAGGTTAGAACAACCAGTGCACATTTTAAGACTTTCTTTACATTAAACGCTTCATTTGAGAATGATTGCAATACATATTATTTTTTATGTTTCAAGTTTATACAGCATTTGTATCGTTTTGGGCAAAGACAAAAGGATGCGCTCTAATAGCTTCTATGACTGCAAATTGGTCATCAAAGGAAGGGAGTGCTTTATGTTTGCCCCCTTTGTTTTACATCATAGCACCATTTAGTTACCATAGCCTTACGCGCAACGTTTTAAGCCTGCCAGACTCAGTAGGCAGCAATTCGGAAAGGGGATGGGCGCTAGCACTGATTCGCCTGTCTACACTTTTGCATTGTGTATTCCTGCACGAGTCCACATTTCTAATGCTTCTTTTTCCCCCCCCGCTCTCCCTCTCTTGTTTTTTTTTCTCTTTGTACTGTGTTGCAGATGAGATTGTCAGCACTTTGGGGGAAGGCACATTTGGCAGGGTGATGCGGTGCATTGACCATCGCAGGTGTGTGAGCTCTCAGTCTCTGGGTGTCTTAGTAGTTCATTAGGCAATTGTTGTTTCCTCAGCAACAAGAAACAAGAGCCTCTCCGTGCATGTTTTGGGCCGGGATATTAGGATACATCAGAGGTGTTTAACCCATTTTTAGTACATGGGCAACATGCAGCCTGTATTGAGCAGGGTGGACCAGTACAAGTATTGCATAAAACCCTCTGTAGGAGAAAGGAACTACCTCTCTAAATGTCTTTTATTTATGGTTACAGCCACATGTATTTTGGCAAAAATAGCTTTTTCTATGCATTTTGCATGCCAGGGTGAAGGTTTTTGAGAAGTTCGTTTCTACTTTTACATGTGAATAAGGAAAACTGATTTCCAGCCTATGCACCTTTATTTTCTTTTTTTGATGTCTCACTATGTTATTGTTTGTAGGCTTTTGATTGGCCAGAATTTCTTCAGAGATAGTGATGATGAACAGCCTGAA